GTAATCAATTAAATATTTGCGAAATGCATAAAAGAAAAAAAGCAATAAAGTTTGCAGTTAACTAAGGATTTTTTTAAGTGATTCATAATTTTCTGGATGACAAATATGCTCTATGTCATTCAGTACTTATTACAGGTAACGATCTTTCTGTTTTTATCTTCCCCCAAAACTCCATTGCTTCCCAAACTGTTATACAGTGCTGTTCTGGGAAATCCTTAACAACCTGCTCTCTGCATGAAAAGTAAGGCATATGTTTATACACATAACTGTATTTTAAACTTTACTGACATAAAAGATACATAGGATACAATTTACAAAGAATAATAAAACATATAATATTCTTCACTGAAAATTCCATTTAGCCAATTGATTCTCATGGAAGGATTTTGTTGATATTTGCCAAACTCTAGTATCCACAGCCAATCTATATTTGAGATGGACAAATGAGTGCAATCCCAATGTGGATGTTGGTTGACATTTTGGTTAATGTTATTGAGCACAACAAAAATGAAAAAACAGAGACATGTCCAAGCTTCACACATTTGTCAATGGTGTAAGCACCATTGCTGACTCAGACAACCATTTTCAAATACTAGAAGGATATCTTCTCAAATTCTTGTGGTCTTCATAATGTAACACCTGTACACACAACACAATTTTAAACGTAATCTGCATTATACAGATATTCTCCATCACTTTCTCATGAGTAGACCAGGAATAGAAAACATTCTCTGTAAGGGTCAGATACTAACTATTTTAGACTATTTGGGCTTTATATTCTCTATGATAATTACTCCTATTTGCTATTGGAACACAGTCATAGACACTATGTAAACAAAAGGGTATGCCTGTATTCCAATAAAACTTAGACTATGTATACTAGTCCAACTATATACAAATAGTCTAGCTATGTATAAAAACCAGCAAAGGGCTAAATACGGCTTGAGGCACTTAATTTGACAATCCTTTGCCTGCAGAATCAACAGAACTATAAACTGGGCCTAAATTTAGCACTTGCCATTTTCATGGTTAACATACTCCCTCATTGCTGATTTCAAGCTACTAATGTGGTATCAATGCACGCTGAGTTGGGAACAGTTGAACAATAGAATATAACACAATTACGCAGTATTTCCACCATGCAACTACATATATAGAGAGATAGCCTAAGAAGGAGAAAGTGATAAATTGCATTTCTTAACTTTGCTCTTAACATATTTCGTTTAAATTGAGCTTATGTAATTTAATTTTTTTAATGTCTGTGTTTCAAAGTTATCCCATAAAATTCCCCTCCAAATTTCACAATCTATTCTCCTGCACTGATAGGAATAGGCTTTTGCACACCACACCTCTATCTCCTTCCTTGAATTTCTCTTTACTCTCTACATCTCCTACTTTAAGCTGGTTCTTGTTTTCTTCTTCGACTCTCTCTTGTTTTCTTCTTCTATTCTCAGGTAGCTCCTTCTCCTACTCTCATTTCTAATTTATAGGGTTCCATATGACTCTGTTCCTCCATCTCAGCATGCTATCTTACCATAACTTCAACTACTCCTTCACTGCTGACTATGCTCAAAAGTATATTTTTTTGTTCTGCATTGTCATTCACATGTCTAAATAGACTGCTAAGTATTAAATATATTTAGATTTAATATAGATATTAAATTATATATATAATTCTATATGATATAGAATATAGATATATTATTATATAGAATTATATATGATATATGATAGGTATTAAATATATATATGTGTTTATGTGTATACAACTATCTATATATGTGTATATGTGTATACATGCATATATATATATAGAGAGAGAGAGAGAGAGAGAGAGAGAGAGATTGAGATTTCCATGTGGGTGTTTTGGTTCCCTACAGTCACTTCAAATTTAATGAGCCTAAAACCAGTCATCAAACTTTCCAGTCCCTTCCCCCTCATGCCTTAGGTGTTCAATGTATTTTTGTCATACCAGCTTGAAATTTCTAATTCAACTTCTCCTTGGCCTATATCCTTTCTTATCAATATTTCCTGCTAGATATATTCTAGCACATCTCTCTCAATTCACATTTCCACCACACAGCTCACACAAGAATTATATTCTCTCAACTGACATCCCTGTCTTCAACCTTATCGTCCTTTTAGGGTTTCTTATACTGCAATGAGGCTCATTTATTCTAAATCCTGAGTTTATCACGCTTAAACCCTTGATTAAGACCTAAAATGTATTCAACTGCCTACCTCAATGATTTAAGCTTAAATTTCATACTTCTCAATTTCAAGGGCTTCATTATCTTCAACCAAATTTATCTTTACTAAGCAATGCCATTATTCAGTATTTCCCCAAATAGACAAAATTCTTAGATACTGTAACTTGTATTTCATTTTCATATGGGTAGGCAATAAACAACTTGTTGATTTATTTGTTATCTGTTAATGCAATTTGAAATGAGTGGAGTTGTATTAGGAAACTCAAAAGATATGCTTCATTGGAACAATAAAAACAATATATTAAAGATATAGATATTCTAGAGATATTTCATAAAGAAAAACTTACCATTCATCTATATTCAATAGACTAAATAAATAGGCCAAGTCCTATGAACTGTGCTAAGTGCTAAGGACACTAGGATAAATAAGACACATTTTCTGACTTCAAAAAGCTACAATCTATTCAAATAACATTGTAATCACCATACTCTTAAAATAAAACATTGCCTCAGGGAGTTTTCAAGTCTTGGTGAAAAGCTAAAAATCCATATGTCATTTCAAGGACTAATTAAAGGGCTTATTGAAGAATATTCCTTTATTAGGTAAATGAGATAAACATTGAACAAGACATTTTTAAATTAACTTTTAAAATATATATATTGAATTCCAGGCAATATTAAATACTATGTGGATATTTGAAAATACTTTATCTTATTTTACATTTTAATAGAGATTTTATGGCCCAACATTTAATTCATACTTTTATGAGAATTTTTACATTTTTGTAAATTTTTTGCTGCTTTGGAGAGCATGAACAATTTTTGCTTATAATGTGTTCTGCCTAGCAAATTAATAATGCTCTGTCCACAATAACATAGATGCTTATATGTGGCAAAAAAGAATCTTTTGTTAATGACCACATACTTCAGAGAAAGAAACGGAACATGTTTAAAAGCACTTCTTGGGGCACCTGGCTGGTTCAGACAGTAGAGCGGGCAACTCTTGATTTCAGCTCAGTCATGATTCCAGGGTCCTGAGATCGAGCCCCACATTGGACTCCTCACTGAGCATAGAGATTGCTTGGGATTCTCTTTCTCTCTCTCTCTCTCTCTCTCTCTCTCCCCCTCCCCTACTTGTTCTCTCTCTTTGACAAAAAAAACAAAAAACAAAAACAAAAAACAAATAAAGAAAAAAAATTTTTTAAAGCACTTAAGTACCTTTTTTAAAATATTGATTTTAAACCATATGTAATCTCTTTTTTTAAAAGTTTATTTATTTTGAGAGAGAGAGAGAGAGTGTGTGTGCGTGTGAGAGCAGAAGCAGGGAAGGAGCAGAGAGAGAGAGGGAGAGAGAAAATCTCAAGCAGGCTCCATGCTGTCAGCACAGAACCTGACTTGGGACTCGACCCCACAAACTGAGACCATGACCTGAGCCAAAATCAAAAGTCAGAGGGACATATAACCAACTGAGCCACCAAGGCACCCCTCCATCTGTCATCTCTTGAGCAATTATTAATATTACTTGGAATACTACAGATATAAAAAATATTATAACATTTAAAAATTATTATTTAGTTAGCATCTCTAAATAAAAGTACATGCTACTTGCTTCCTCATTAATAAAATAAGACAACTGTACAGTATTGAGGTTTTTTTCCTAATGTAAATTCAGTAGAGTTCTTAGTCAAAAGAAAATTAGAATTCCATTATAAACAACTTGCAAAATTTTAGAAGTGACTGTCCATTATAAAGATATGAAACAATACAAACATATTTAACTCCGCTATCAAGAAGCATAAAACATGCAATATTTCTGCATCATAAAAATAATAGTAATGAATAATGATTAAAATTCAGAGTATTTAAATCCTTGCTTATATTTTAAAGTGAAATTAAAACACACTAAAGAAAAGGTATAAATTTTTAAAGACATAATATAGATATTGTTTGTCCATCTGGATTTCATGAAATTCTTAATCTTCATTGTTATATGAAGCTTATAAATTAGCTTTCCTTGGTTCAGGGGGATTAAGTAGAAATCTGTCTTCACTGTTCCATTAGCTCTAGTGGTGGACATTAAATCTCCTTCTTGGAATTAAATGTCTTAAGAATGTGTAAAGATGGAAAATGAATCTTTGTGGTGAACATTTGCTTGAATAACTTTGTGTTCCTAATGTGATAATCTGTATGTTATCTTTAAACCACACTTAAACCACTTTAAAAGTAACTTTGACCTGAGTAAGGAAGTTGGACAAAGATCTGTTTCAGCTATGATCTCACACTATAAGCCTTTTTTTAATTGCCTCAAGAGCTTATAACATTTTTTTCTGAAGTCAATGTAGATGTCATATCTTTTTATACATTAAGAATTTTTTAAATTACCCACTGGGGATCCAGTAGCAAGTGTCATGACAATTGTCAGTGACCAATCCAGTGTCCCATGTTAGACATGAATGATATGACAAGACATGAAATAAACCTCTTTTTCTCACATGGCACACGAACTGATTTTGAAAGAAAATGCCAAAAGGTGCTCTGAGTTTGTTTTTTGTAAAAAGTAATACTATTGGAATATCTGCACAAAGCTACTACTTTAGAAACAAAAGATACTAGTTTAAATCTGTAAATCACATAAATCTGTCAAAAATTAATACTCCCTACTGGGGAAAGAAGGTAGAAAGAGAAGGATACAGGGAGAGAGAAAAGAGAGAAACCTGCATTCAAAAAGCAACTCTGGAACCCAATTGCCTTACCTTTAAAAATTATATACCTTTAAGAAAAATTACTCACCTTTCAAGCATCATTGTTCTCCTCTGATTGCAATAAGAATGAGAAAGGACATGTAAAACAGTTATTGTATACTGAGTTCTTTTACCTTGAAACCAAAATGAAAGGTAATTTTCTACCAGTCCCCTTTTTTAATTGAAGTTTACTATATCCAGGTACCCTAAGTTTTTAAATTCTTTATAAGGAAGCTATACGACTCACTTGTTCAGAAGCAGGAACCCAGAAATGTGGTCATATACCCAGAGTGCAGGATACTTTCTGTGCTAGTAAATCACAAATCTATATTAAAGTGAGCCCAAAGGGGGGAAAAAAAACTTCAGTATGAATACACTGGTTAAAGATACACAAAGTTTTTAGAAAAGCAGCAACTCTACAGCTTTGATTCTCTGCTTCTTGCTGTCTATGTCTCCCTGTGGGGCTTGCCCTTCCTGTCCTTCAAAATTCACCAAAGTGAGAATAAATGCCCCTTCTGGAGCAGTAAGATCACAGCACACAGAATTCTTCTAGTGACTTTGAAATAGATCAGTACTGAGGCATCTGAGGCCACACGGGCAACTGATCTGGTTTTCAGTCACCACAAATTTCTGCTAAGCTACCCACTGCCCCTGCTGTGTGGCCCAGCCAGATCTGATGCCCCTGCTGCTTCTAAGCCATGCTTAGGGGCCACAGGAAACTTTGTTGAAGCTGTCCATGCCCATGATCCCTCCTGCCAAGACACCAATAAGTGAGATTATACCCTAGATCTCACAGTCTTACCAGCAATGCTATTGGATATAAGGAGTGGCTGTTACTAATCTTAGGACCCAGACCTTGCCTTCTCAGCTTCTTCCCTAAACTCATAAAGCATGGAGAAATCTTGCTAGTCTAGAGAGGAAATATCACTCTCCAATACAATATGTTAGACAAAACATTTGTCTATGCCCATGGTAACTCTTCCTTTTAACTCCTCCATTATCCCTCCAAATTTTTCTAAGGACTACAGTTTTCAGAAAACTAAACCCAGACAGACTTGTAATCTCCTTTCCATTCTACCCATACCTGCTTTGATGACCATGATAGAGAAATAATAATACCTCCTTAATGGGCAAAAGAGGGAAAAAACAGAATGAAGAAAAAATATACAGATTAACATCCCAAAATTTTATCAGTCTACAAGGGTATTACTTCACTTTTTTCAGTCTACAAGGGTATTACTTCACTTTTTTTCATTGAAATAATTTGAAGTATATATTGAAGGTTCTTAGGAAAACTCTATTGTCTTGTCCAGATTTATTGCTTTTAAGGTTTTTTTTGTAAGTAATTAATTTAGAACTAACCATGGTATCTTTTATGGGGCAATGAAAGGGAGGCAGAGTCTGATAAAAATGGTCCTTTTTTCAGTTATTTTTACTTCCCCACCTTTCACATTACAGAAATCTTGGTAGAGAAGCAAGGAAGGTGGGAGATAAGGCCTACCACCTGCCTCAACTAGTCTTACCTGAAAACTGAATCCCAAAAGATGCTCAGACTATTCCCTACCTCAGAAATGGTACATCATCCTTATCCTTACTAGCCCATGGGTTTCATTGTTCATTTCCACACATCAGTGTGTCATTGGGTATTGTGACTGTCCAGTATCTTCAACCTCTCCCTGTCATCTAATTCCCTCTGGTTAGCATTTGAACAAGCTTAACTCTTTCAATCTTGAATATACAAGGCTTCCCTCCATTGATAACCTCTCAATGAACTACCACACCCAAATCCTTCTTCAACCATCAGAGCAAAATTTGATTAAAATTATCTATAGTCAGTCTCCAACATCTCTCTATCTTTCCTCAAACCACACAATGACTAACATTTTATTGAAGCAGCTTTCAGCAAGGCTTTCTCCTCATTGCTATATCCAATAAGAACTTCTCAGTTCTTATTTCATTTCTGGTTTACTGTTTTCTGGTCTGTGTCCCCCATTCAACTGTCATCTCTATGAGGGTACCTATGTATAATGACTCGCACATAGTACCCACCCAAAAATCCATTGTCTAATGAATGAATAACAGAAAAGTACAGAAAGAGGCAGTTCTACCTAACTTATAATTTCCAGCAAGGAAAATATGTTCTCTTGAAGAATAAAGATTTAGGGGCACCTGGGTGGTTCAGTCGGTTAAGAGTCCATCTCTTGATTTCAGCTCAGGTCATGATCTCGAGTTCATGAGAATGAGCCCCACATCCGGTTCTGAACTGACAGCACAGAACCTACTTGGGATTCTCTCTCTCTCCCCCTCTCTCTCCTCAGCTCATGCTCTCTCAATAAATAAATAAACAAACAAAATTTTAAAAAAAGAAAAAGAAAAAGAAAGATTTAGACTTCAGTCTGAAATAAATTCATATATGCCTTGGAATTTAGTTTTGTGTTGTCTTTGTTGCTCTGCTATTGCTATTACTACTTGATTTTACATTGGATCTTAGGGAGGATAATTTTTTAAAAGGTTCATTTATCTCTGAGAGAGAGAGAGAGAGAGAGAGAGAGAGAGAGAGAGACCGCGAGTGGGAGAGGGGTGGGGATGGGGGGAGGACAGAGGATCTGAAACAGGTTCTGTGCTGACAGCAGACAACCTGATTTGGGACTCGAACCCACAACCACAAGACCATGACCTGAGCCAAAGTCAGACACTCAACTGACTGAGCTACCCAGGCACCCCAGGATATATTTTTTTTTAATATTCTCTTCAAACTGATTTTTCATCCACAATATTCTTAGGAATCAGTTCTAAACTAAGAACAGAAGACCCTATCAAATACTTTAAAATATTTAGTTCTAATTAGTCTCTCTCAAGCTCATCATAAAAACAAGTCTTCATATTATAAGATTTCAAGCTATTTTTACTTTGGTGATTATATTACTTTTATATTTACAGTACAGAATTTTCATGGTAAGGAAATTGTTGTATCTTATGTTACATTTTATAATACAAGTGTCTTATTTTTCCAATAATTCAATAGATACTATACAATTAATGGAACCAAACTAGCCTGTTTAAAGATAAACTTAAGAAAGTAATCTAAGAAGACAAAAATTAATTTTTTCTATTATCTATAAAATATTCCTCATGTATTTCTTTTGTGGTTGCCCTTTCCATAAATTAAACTTTTACTGTAGCATCATTAATTTGATAGTATTTCAAAAATCATTGAAAATAAAAATAATAGTGCACAGAATATTCAGAAAGAAGGAAGATAGTAAGTGGGGGAATTTAAAATTCTGAAGAAAATAATGCATTTTTACTTTCTTCTGGTTTGGTTTACTTCTGGTTTACTTTCTTTCTATCTTCCTAGATAGAAAGGTCTCCAAAAATGTATTTTAAAAAATAACATAGTAATATTAAATAAACTTTTACAAACAAATCCACTGCTCAGTTTTACTTTTCTAACTCCCATTAAACCACAATCACCTATTATCTCACAGGTGAGGGATAGAGTGGACAGGGAGTGAAAAGGTGTGGGAATTATCTACATCTGAATAATCACAACAGACCTTACAAAACGAAAAAGAAAAAGGTGGAGGAAGAAGGTCTGCCTAATTCATGAAACTGATACCATTTAAAATTGTACTTGAACAATTCCTTTTGACAGTTTTCATCTACAAAAAAAAATACAATTTTGATTATCCTGCTTCTATCAAGAATATCTTCAACGTCTGTAAGAATATCACTAAACGCCTCCATTGTCTTTTGGGACACTCAGCAGGGAGCATACAGCACAACGGGGTCTGGCTTCTAACTGCCTCTCCTGACATATCTCAGACTCTTTCACCATCCATATCCACTACAATAGCAGTAGTAAAACATTTGCCTACTTGCTTCGTGCTCTTTCACATTCCCCTGCTTTTCCAAGAGCTAGAAGCTATTCAAGACCATTTAACATGCTAAAGTGGCCAGATTAGAGCCAACATGGAGTCACTCATGCTCAGCCCTTACATCAGCAAACCAAAATTTAACCGCTGGGCTCTCCCAGAAAAGGAAGGCCTAGGTCAACCACTTGCCCACTGAGAACAAGATACCTGACCAGCTCCAAGACAGTCCTTTGCTCCATAAATGGAAAGTAACCCTGCTTTACCCAATCAGCAAACGTCCAGTAGAACTTCCTTGTGCCTGCTCACTTCATTCTGTAAAAATCTGTCTCCTTGGACAACTCCTTGGAGCACCATTCTATGTACTAGATTGGATATTGCTTGACTTGCAAATTGCTGAATAAAGCCAATAGGACCTTAAAATTTACACAGGTGAATTTTTCTGTAAGGAATGTTCACCTGTCCTAGGACGGCTTCTCTTGCCCCCACAAGCACTCCTTCTCTGCACCCTTCCCATACCTTTATTATCCTACTAGCATGTCAGAAGGCAAATCTCTATTTCCTTCCCTTTTATTTCAGACTTCAGGAAGTTTATTTTAATCATCTGTGTTTCCTTGTGATCAACTGCAGCATCCTATATATACCTCAAAATATAAAGGGATGAAGATAGCAAATTTATGATCCACCTCACTTCACAATTATACTGATATGATCTAAACATTTATTAATAATTGAACTGTCAGTATTTGATGACATAAATAACACCAAATGTGAAGTGCAAATTATTAAAGGAGGCAGGTCAATGGTAGGGAGGGAAATATGCTTCTCCTGACCTTGAGTCCTCTATCCACTGTGATCTCCCATTTTTTTGTCTTCTCAGTTACCTCCCAGAACACTGGCAAACTATTTTCAAAAGTCCCTGAGCCCCCACTGGGCTGTCACTGGGCACTCTGTTAGAAGACTCTTCTTACACTGTCATTGCACTGCTCTGAATTCAACAGAGAAACAAAACCCTTGGCACCGAAGACATGAGAAATAAGCCATAACACAACCTTTTGGCTGTATTCTGATATTGAAGAAACCAAAAAACCTAGAGTCTAGGAAAGTGGACCCAGGACTTGGAGACTTTCATCTCTAGACGTAGAGAAAACTATACTATCCCTGAGCTTGCATAGTATACAATCTGATGAGCAGACTCATAATCTGGTTTTCTGTGCAGTAGAAGGACACAGCAGGGAGCCTCTATCTGGGAGCCTGATATCCTTTGGTTAACTCTGTCCTTTAAATCTTAACTGTAGGTGTAAAGCCAAAGGCCTTATATTGTACTCAGATATATATGAATCTACATGTTCTCTGACTGAATAAATTCTCTCAGTCTGGCCCCAAATGCCCACCTCTCGTTCTATCTACTCTTTACTGACTATGTGACAGAAAAGATACAGCTTTACATGAAGTGCCGTGACAGCCTAGCCCTGAAAACCCCATGCACATATGCTTCTCTGGGAGTGTGGTCAAAGAGAATTTTAAAAGTTTGAATATCTCTGGGCTTCCACACCCCCCACGCATCAGTGACCAATCAAGGCCCTGCCATGTATATTCTAGACAACACACTCTGTAGCTCTCTCTTACCTTCTCTCATATGATCTCCGTAAAGTCTACACTGGCTTGGACTGTCATCTTTTCCTGTGTCTTCGCTGTCTTTTTCTACTGCATGTGGTTTTATCATTTCCATGTGCATTTAAGCAATTCCCAGGCTTCTCAATTCTCTGGAGGTGGAGGAGCATGGTCAATGTCTTCCATCACCACCAGAAACATTCACATCACACCTTAAGGACTTAAAACACACCCCATTTACTCAATCACCCTCAATTGTCTGAGCTTAAGAAAAGTGTAGGAGTGAAGGGAGGGTTTTCCTTTACATAGTTCTTTCTTTGTCCATTGTTTCTGTTTGTTCTTATTTTATTTTATTTTTCTACTGTGGTAAATGTACATAACATAAAATTTACCATTTTAATTATTTTAAGTGTACAGTTCAGTGACATTAAGTACATTCACACTGTCATGCAATCATCACTATCACCCATTTCTAGAATTCTTAGCATCTTCCCCAACTAAAACTCCATAGCTATGAAACAGTAATTCCCCATTCCCCTTCTTCCCAGCCCCTGACAGCCATCATTATACTTTATGTCTCTATGAATTTGACTACTCTAGGTACAACATGTAAATGGAGTCATACAGTATTTGTGTGATTATTTCACTTAGTCCAATATCTTCCAGTTTTATCAATGTTGTAGCATATGTCAGAATTTTCTTCCTTTTTAAGGCTGAATAATATTCCTTTGTGTGTGTGTGTGTGTGTGTGTGTGTGTGTGTGTGTGTGTGTGTATACCACATTTTTTTTATCCATTCATCTGTCAATGGGCATATGGGTTATTTCTACCTTTTGACTATTGTGAATATGCTTCTATGAGTGACAAATATCTGTTTGAGTCCCTGTTTTCAATTCTTTTGAGGATATACCCAAAAGTGGAATTGTTGAGTCTCGCGGTGATTCTGTGTTTAATTTTTCGAGGACTCCCATAGCATTCACATTAGTTCTTATATCCACCATACTCTAAAATGTTTTCTCCTTAGGTCTGATATATACATTTGAAGTAAACAATGAAGGAAGATGCATTAGTTATCCATTGCTGTTTATCTATTTACCCCTAAAGCTTAGCAACACAAAAGAAAATATTTATTATCTTACCATTTCTGTAGGTCAGAAATCTAGGCACAGCTTAGCTGGATACCTTTGATTCAAGGTATCCTACAAGGCTACAACCAAGGTATTAGCAGGGACTGCAGTCAACGCGAGGCTCAACTGGAGAAGAATCTATTTCCAAGCTCAGTCTATTTGGGAAGTCTCAAAAATGCACTTCCAGCTTCACTCAGATGGCTGCTGTCATACCCCAGGTCCTCACTGGCTATCAGACAGAATTATCAGTTCCTTGTCTGGAAGATTGTTTTTCCTAGATGAGGTCCTGGAGAGAAAGACACAGAGAACACAAGAGTTTGAGCAAGACAGAGATCATAGCCTTTTGTAACCTAATCCTGGGAATGACATCCCATTACTTTTGCCATATTTTGTTCGCTACAAATGAATCATTAAATCTAGCAACCACTCAAGGAGGGAGTTATACAAGACTGTGAATACCAAGAGACTGAGATCATTGGGGGCCATTTAGAGGCTGCTTACCAACAGAGATTTGGTGTGGTTTGGTTTTCATTGCTATCACACAGAACAACTAGCGTCAAGAAGATACTCAAAACATTTGCTCAATGAATGAGTGGATATCAGTGGAAATGGAACATCTGCTTTTTCACATGTTTATATGGTATTGAAATCTGAGAAAATTTAACATAGTCTACCCTAAATTATGATTACTTTAACAAGTAAAAAATATTTTCCTTCTATTTTATCATGTTACACTAAAAAATCAGAATCAAATTTAGCATCTCTCTCAAAGGCATCAGGAAAACGATACCACTTACTGACTCCTTTTGTATATTTCCTGGTATTCTGGTAGAAACTTAGTCATTTTATGACATATGGAAATAGATAATATGGTTCAAGATACACATATGGAAATAGATAATATGGTTCAAGATACATAATGTAGTCTATTTTAAGAATTTAACATCAGCTACTGAAAGGCTTTTATGCTTCAAGTTAAGGAAAGCAAATAATATTAAAATGAAGATATGCATGCTATTTATTCTTGGATTGTTTTTTTAATAGCATGTTGATCTTCTAGAGCACTCTTGTTTAAATTACAACAGTAATAATAAGGAAAA